TCGCCGATGAGGCCGGTGAACTCCCCTGTTGACGGCAGAGGGGCGGACTTGCCGGACCGATGGTTGATGACCCCGAACTTGATCGCCATCTGCTCGATGTAACTGGCTGATGAGAGATAGATGAGGTCATTCTTGAGATCGCGGTCGATCTTCATTGAGAGCATCTGGCTGGGTTCGCCCATGTCGGTGATGGTCCAGTTCTCAGCCAGGAAGTTCACAGCGTGGTCTGCTTGGTCCTTCTTGGGACAGCAGATGAGAATGTCGTCCACGTAGGTGAGCAAGATGATGGGGCCCTGTTTGGTCCACTTGCTATACAAGCCCCATTCGCCAGAGCATCTCTTGAAGCCGTACTTGTGCAGGACACGTCCCAGCTCGAGCCACCATGCACGGCCGGATTGCTTGAGGCCGTAGAGGGCCTTGTGGAGACGGAGGCAGTTGCCTGAGGCGGTTTGGACACCAGGTTGCGGTGAGACGTAGATCTCCTCACTGAGCGGACCGTTGAGATGAGGCGCAGCCCAACCAAGTGCAGTCGCAGTTGCAGTATTGTCGTTGGCAGGTGGGCCAAGGGCGTCCGCAGATTCATCATCCGCATAACCTGCAGACTGGACACCCTCGTTCCCGATTAGATCATATGCGTCACCCTTTGTCGTTAGCGTGTTCGCACTTGGGTCACCTACCAGAAAGAGCGCGAGTAGCACATTTGCGTCTGCCATTATCAGACTTGCAAATGCGTTTGAGACAAGAACGGTTGCACTTGGAACATGGCCGTTTTATATGTTGCACGCTCTTGCTCGAAGGGCATGTGCGCTTGTCGAACCCGCGGCCGCGAGTTCGACAAAGTCGAGCGCAGGTGCAACACCATCGCAAAAAGGATAAAGCAACTGCAAGTGAGAAAGGCTCAACATCAGTCGAGGATCAATCAAGCGCGACTGTGAGCGGCTCAGCCGCGATTGAGGGTGAAGCAAGTGCGATGGAGAAAGCTGGAGCGGTGGTGTGAGAACGGAACAAGCGCGAATGCAAAAGGCTCAACCACGTTCGCCCTTTGCACCTCGACGAGTGCATGCGACACAAGTGCCGAAGCGGGTAAATAGTAAGCGATCGAGACCGTTCTCGTTGCGAGTGCACATAGGACACGCGCGACTACTGGTGCGACAGGCGCGACAGCGGATGTAACAAGCACGCACGCCTATGTCCTAACTGCGACACGTGAATGATGCATGTGCGGTAGCGCATGAGTTACCTGCGTGTGCACATGGACACTACACAAATGTTATGGAGTAACATTCACAAGCACAAATGCTTCAAGATGGCTCGCTTGATTGTGCAAAATATGACGAAATACAGTATAATTATCTGCCACAAAAGACATCGATTGCATGATGGAACATCACGCATTACAGGGGGGGTACTGATACACCTCGGATCCTCTCTGCGTATCCCTAGCCATAGTCGAAGCTACGCCTCGGATCCTCTCTGCGTATCTGTTAGGATCCGGTTCACCGAGAACAGATCGCAATCAAGTGTCTCGAAACCTAATGCGGTCTCCTAGTGCTGCACGGCTTGGATGGATCTTCCTTGGGCGAAGGACAAGCGAGGCAGAGGGCGAGCGAAGTCAGAGCACGTGCAAGTGCAACAGAATGTAGAACGGGCAGATAATTTGATCCATGAAGAAAAGAGCAACGACAAGTTCGAGATGCGCTCTTTATATATCTACTAGAAGGGGTCTGGGACCCCGTGATAATCAGGTACAGAGCAAACTTGCAGGGAAGTTTGCGGACAAGTTTGCGGGCAAGTTTGCGCAGCAAGTTTGCGCGGCAAGTTTGTGCGACAAGTTTGCGCAGCAAGTTTTCGCTGCGTCGTGTGGGTTACGGTCCGTAGGGGCGGGGCGTAACAGTATCCCAGGCCATAGTCGAAGCTCAGGATCCTTGGCTCATCAGGAATAACACATCGTTCGGTAGTTCGCAGACACATAACCAATCACTGCTCAATATCGAACGACACCCTAGCTTCAAACCCTGGTAGAAGCAGTCCGGACTAGTCATGGAACTTAGAAGCACGTAAATTAGCAATAGCATGATACACTGCTCGAAGAGTCACAAAGCCAAGAGCGACAGGCTTATAGGGGCCGTAGATGACAGTATGTCAGAACAGCCCCTATAAGCCTGTCGCTCTTGGAAGGACACACACG